TACAGGATGATAGAGAATTTGAAGCTCTATCAGAATGTTTAATTCCTTTTAGAAAGATTTATTTCCATAGTATCTATAATTTGAAAAAGCATAAAAAGTAGCGAATTTTCGTACTTGTCAATTGAGGATATCTTCATTGTACTCAAGTTATTTCTGCAATAGATAAATGCAAGACAGTAGACAAATATATAGGACGATAGAGAAATTCAAGCGCTATCAGAATATACTTAGAGTTGACCAAAGATTTTGATCACGTTGTGAGGGGAGCGAGTATCATCGTTCTACGAACTTTTGGTCAACCCTAAATAATTAATCGTTACGTGATATCCTTCATAGTGAACATATACTGTAGTGTTTGGTACGGTGAAAGCTAAAGCAGAATGTTTGATAGGGGAATGAATCAGCTGATGTGATAATATGAGTAGAAGAACATTATCTTTCTGAAAAAAAAAGTCGATTTTCCAATCTTCCCGCAGGGCAGTTGACTCTCTAGTTTTTCTTTGTCTCGCAAACGGTAAAGTAATGAAAGAAGAAAAATTCAATAACCGACGAATTTAGAAAGATATAACACTCAAATTTTCTGTAATGTTAGCAGACTACTGGCACAAGTATTGAAGAAAATTTTAGCTCTTAATTCTGTCTTAACTGGATTACAGAATTTTTACTGTTACTGCACACAATGTTCCTTCAGAATAAAACAAAATTCATGACTGTTGAAAGAAGTAATATGGGTCCAAATCCGTTTAAGATTTTTGTCAGCTCATTTTCCTCTATCAACTGGAATAATATCATAGTAAACGGAGTTGTGCATCTGAAAACCTTCTCTCTTAAAATATTATCTCATTTCCTTCGCGGAATAACTTTTTTGATGCTCAAAGTAATTTGACGAGTGAACCACAGTAATGTGACTTTTTTTATGATATAGAAGTATAGTGCGAAACTTCGTTCTGAATTCAAAACAGAGAATTTTTTGTTGTATCAAACTTTTGTACATCCGACGTTCATACATTGTTTAATTTTTGGAAAAAAAATAACGTAAAGATTTTGAAGCATCTGCTTATAGCAGACATTAATTCAAAAAGTTATGTTTTTGAAGTAGATTTCCGAGGAAATCTGTGGAAAACCATTTCACAGTTCAAAAACATCATATACGAATATTTTCGTTATTCTTGATGGATAAATAGCCTAAAGTGCTCCCTTCAAAATGGGTGTCAAAGGCAACCTTGATTTCAGTGGTTCCGGCGGATTATCAAATTGTTACTGGTATCCGATGACTTATGATAGTCTTGAATTCGCATAACATACGTAATCAATCACGATGAATGTGATGACTGTTACATGAGGTTTTTCCGTTCTTATAGTTCAGTTGTCTATTCTAGTTGTCGCTTTCTCTTACTCATGTTTAGTCGGTCTGTTATACTTTGTTTTCTATTTTAGTCGTCATTCTCGTGTTTATGTTCAGCTGTCTTCTTTTTCGCCTAAATACGTGTGCTTTTTATTCAGTACTGTGTGCAGTTGATTTTTATCATTTTGCACAATACAATCAACCCATTTACATTGTCTTTATGTACAATCCCTGCAAGGGAATTCTAATAGTGACATTGTTTGTTTTCAAACACAAATGTTATTACCGACATAAAAAGTTGTTTGTGCTTTTTTGTATGACATCTACTGCAACCTCATAAGTCAAAAACCCAGCTCTGCTTTGTAATTGTGCATAAAAAGGATGTTTTCTTATTAGTTCGCCGAGTTAGGAGACTTTCCAGAAAATTCATAGTGAGAAATCTTTTTTGTTAGAGACGTGTCATATCACTCAGTATCATATAAATCAGGCAAATAGAATTGAAAGAAAGCGTTTGCCTAAATCCAGTTGACAAATATTTCTTCCTCTACTAAAATCGTTCAATTGTTCGAGTATCATATATGCTGTGTATCGGATAACTAAACGAAAATGGGTGTTATCAATAAATTATCTACGAAAACTCTAATTTAGCTTCAAACATTAGCGAGCTTCGTTAATAAAATTGACTTTTGTATGATTTGGGTTAAACAGAAGCATATTACAACTGATTAATTATACTTAGTTATGATTAATGGTGAAATTTAGCACATTGGATTCTTATTTTAATATCGTTTCATTACCGAAGATTGGAACATATGGTATTACTATCCGTGCCAAAATACAAGACCACTGGTTGTTTTTTGAATAACTCAAAGGGAATAAGAGGCAGAGACTTACGGTTTCATTGTTCGCTAGCCAAGATCTGAAGCTATGCTTCCATATGCAAAAATGAGTTTGGAAAAATTTCAAAGACTAGTTTTTCAGGAGTGAAAAACCAGTTTGGTTCTTTGAAAAGTGATATAGAAATCTATAGCTTTTTTTTCATAGATATATAAGTCGAAGTGTCCTCTACATAACTGGATCCAAGCGACATCTTGGAAATTCATGGTTCGGGAACTATGGACATTTTCCATGAAGCCTTAAATCCTCTGCCATTCGGTTTCGGACTGTCCGAAATCAATGAAAACATAGGTTATCAGCTATGCTAAATCTCGTGGTAATGGTAGTTTCCAGAACAAAATGCTAAAACCGAGTGAAAATCTATACTAGGTAAAATAACTAATTTTTGATTGTTTTCATCAAAAATTAAAAAAATTCATAACTCAGTCAAAATCCATCCAACCACCTTCAGAATGTTACTGATAGACCATTGTAAGAGCTACAAAATGACAGATCTATGCGATGAAAGTGCGGTGAAAAAGTAAAACTAAAACGTAATATTGGCTGGAAAGTGCTCCCGTTTGGGACATAGCCGTGTTGACAGCCTATGAATTCACATTTGTTGTGCGTGCCCTTTTCTTAGAGTTTTGTAGAGAAAAACAGAGGTCTTTGATCCTCTTGCTTGAGCTTGACATACACTGTATATTTGATGTATTTGATCGATATGTTGGTCAAATCTCATCCTTTTTTTCTCGACATAGGCTGATTCGATAGGGAAGATTCTGGTCTATGACATGGACAGAATGTTTTATTAAAAATGCTTGGCTATAATGCTACTTAATTGTGAAATTAATTTATTGCATAAAATATGTTCGAATTTATATCGCATATTTTGCGAAACCGTGAGCTGACTTTTATATATGTTATAGTTACCTGAACAACTACACTTCAGGCATTCTGAACAACTTTGCCATTTGGCATAGTATCAAAATCGGCTTCTGCGCGACAGTAGAGGTTTGCCTCGGAGAACTCCGTGTATTTCAACGGAGTGTCTCTTTTTCCCCCATACAAATTACGCGAGTGTCGCTTTTTTCCCCAATGTATAAAAAGAAAAAAAAGACAATCTTGAGTGTGGTTGATTGTGTCGTAATTAGCTTAATGAGTTCAAACGATAATGAGCTCAAAATCATATGGTAGAGAGAAATATTTGCGCTACAAAATGAGGTATTTTTTTAACTAATTATCTCGAAAGCTTACCTAGCAGTCAATTATTAATTAAAACTCCATGTATTTGAATGGAGTGTCTCTTTTTACCTCATGCAGACTAGTGGAGTGTCTCTTTTTACCCCGAGTGAGGAAAAACGAGACACTTTCATGGGGCTCTTCGCATTTTGGATCTGGCTGAAAATTGGTCAGAGATTTCTAGAAGATTTTTACCTCAACGTGTAGAAAAATGTTCGCTCTACCATCATGTTCAATAGCAAGCTTTTTTCGACCAAAGATGACTGAGAACTAATAGAACTACGACAAAGAATTGAAATGGTGTCTCTTTTTCCCCATGATACTGTATATAGAGATGAACTTCATTATTAACTTTATCGCTGTTCTGTTGTGATGAAATTTAAAAGATGAGATAATGAAACTGAGATTAGAAGATTATGAACCTTTGCGTTTAATACATGTTCACTCTATTTGTGCAAATTATAAGACAGTGATGTCGATTTTTTTGAAACTTATTCTATTCCCTTATGTAAAAGTATTAAAAATCGTGATAACTCTATGTAAGATCCTAACAGATTCAAATCAGTGACCCATTGGTGATTAGTGAAATCTTATCAAATCATCTTAACATTTTCGGATCTCACGGTCTTAATAAAAAGTAGAGTGAATCTCTAACTAGAGATTAAAAAAAAACAAAACATTTTTTGTATGAAAACTATGTTATTGTTTTTTTGTTGGAAGAAAAACAACCATTTGCCTAATATATAACTCCACACAAAAATTTTGTATTCTAATATTTTTCAGGATTATCAAGGCTATTTTATCAAATGGTTGTAAGAACTTTATAACAAATATATCGTTTCTTACTTCATACATTTATGTGAAGTTTTTTTAGAGATTTATTTTCATTAAGCTTCTTTCTAAACAGAGAGATAGCTCATCCCTATTGTCTATTACACGTAGAGAAGATATTCTCTTCTCTTCCTATTTCTTTTTCTACGCTTTATGTATATTTAAGGATGATGAATTGTACATAGAAAGAGAGAAAGAGAGAGTAAGTGAGACACAAAAAAATGTTCATCGTACAGTGGTAATAACAATAATCATCTACATCACAAAAATTCTTTCGTTTTCCTTCCGTTATTGATCTGTTTCTTTCTTCGATATAATATCTGACTTTCTTCTATTTGCCTAGAAATAATACACACGTTTGTGTCCTTACTTTCTTCATCTTTTACTCTTCTTCAATAATAACCATAAACTTTTTTCGTTTGTTCTTATACCTTTTCTTTTTTTAAAATTTATATATTTTTTTGACACAAACGTAACAAAAAAAGAATAAAAGATTGATAGAAAATACTATTCTCTTTTTTTGCTCGTATATACTCCTATATAGTTTATTTTTTATGATATGGACATTTAATCATCTTTTAAAATGAATAAATGATTGTAAAATGACTGCTATATGAAAAATGGAATTTCGTGTCTACGTAGATGGGACAGCAAAAATAATTTGTGATTTAACACGTGAAACAACTATTCATGATATTATCATTGCTTTGGCACAATTAAAAGGAAAACCTGGACGATATTCACTAGTTGAACGAACATCAAATTCGTATCGAACATTAGATCCGAATGAAAAACCGTATAAATTAATTGAAAAATGGGCAAATAATGATAATGTACGATATATTCTAATACAAAATAATAATTCAACATCATCGTCCTCGTCCACTAATGAAACGGATAATCATAATTCACTACAAAATAATCGTAAAAGATCAAAAAGTTTAGATGGACGAAAAACATTATCATTTCAACAAAAACAAATAAATCAGCAAGAATGTAAGTCTAAACGTTTTATATTGTATGATCGTTTATAGTTCAGTTATAGTAGCTTTCAGTCATGTATACACAATGGTACAAGTAGAATAAGAATATTAAACATAGAGAATCGTCACTTAGCTGTTTATACGTTAAATTTTAGAACAATTTAGTTAAAAAGCATAGATGACACAAAAACTTGAGTTATTCAAACCGTAATTACGATCGATAAATGCTATATGAAACTTTGACTAACGGGTGGCGCATAATAAACGGGACACTTTTTTTCTTTATTTTTCAGGCACTTCCAAATGATCTAAAAATCTGGTTCTAGTCTCATTCGATAGAGAATTGAATTCTCTACAGAACCTGCTTTTTGAATTTCTGATAGCATTTTTCTCGTTTGAGCACCACTCAAAATATTGAATAGTGCTAAATTCGCGAACTGCGACACACTGAAAACAGAAAAATATTTGCCTTGATTCCAGAATAGATTCCATAAGAATTTTAAAAACATCAGAAATCAGAACCGGAAAATTCTGCATCTTCTCACACATTCTTCGAAATTCTGCAGTTAAATCTTCTACGAAAATTTCTCTTTGCAAAAAGGTGATAAATCTAAAAAAATCTAACTTTTTAATCTATTTTTCACAGATTTTTATCTTTTGCTTATACAAGCAGTAAAACGTTATGAATCCAGGATTTTAGCCTTGTTATTTCACATAGAATAAATTTCTGCATCTTTTGATATATAAACAAAGTTTCTCAACTGAATTAATTACAAAATTAATTTAATTTGAAAAAGTTTGAAAAGCCGGTTGAGAACTAGTTAGGAGTCCAGCTGACATAGTGAAAACATTGTATGAAATTATAACTGAGTGAGATCGATAGAGCACAAAATTCTCTATCTTTTTACCTAGAAAAAGTAACTATTGAACCTCAGACAATGGACTAAAAATCTCAAAAAAGCATATGACAAAAGCACGTCGTAGTTCGAGAATTTAGCACTATTCAATATTTTGAGTGGTGCTCGAACAAGAAAAATGCTATCTCAGGTTCTGTAGAGAATTTAATTCTCTATCGAATGAGGCTAGAACCAGATTTTTAAATCATTCGAAAGTGCCTCAAAAACAAAGAACAAAAGTGCCCCGTTTATTATACGCCACCCGTTCTTTTCTTTTCATCATCTGATTTATAAAAATCTTGAAATTTCCAAAATTGTAAAATGGCATTAACTATTTTTTGATACATATCTCTGCTTTATGCTATTCACGTTTGATACTAAACTCTCTGTTTGTGCAAAAATTTTGTCTAAACTGATGTGTTTGGATACGTATTTAGTTTAAATTCATAGAAGAATATCTTTTAGATTCTTTAATAAGAAATTTTTCTAGTCAAAGTTTTCAGAGTTCGTAGACTTTGTCCAAACATTATAGTCTGTACTGTAAAACGACGTTTTTTTACCAAATCATCGATTAGTAATTTTGAATATAAAAATATTAGTAGACATTATTGATAGGCCATATTTATTATCCACTTGGCAAAAAAAACTGAAGTTAATCGAATTCTTTTCCAGTCTTGGTTTTTAATTGTAATTGTTGTTTTGACGATCACAATTGATTAACATGAAAAGAAAAGATAACAACGCGTTGTTTTATCCAAGTATAATGATGTATGTACTTGAACAACGATTATCTTCTTTTCTTTTTATTCTTTCTATAGCTTACGGTACAAGTCTCTCAATATATATATATATATATATATATATATCAGTAAATATAGACTTGAATATACTTTGAATTCAATTCAATTCAAATTATATACACATCACTTAACAACACTGAACAATTTGAAAAGAAAACATTGTATCTTCATCGAATATATTAAAAGCTTTTGTATTTTTGTACACAAATTTGTACTCTTGTACAGATCATAAGCATGTAATTAATCGGATTGTTGAATATAAATTATGAGGTTAGAGGCATTTAGTTTCATGTTCTGTTTTTTTGGAAATAAAGAGAAAAAGAGATTGTATGTTATTATGATGTACCGAGATAATGAATGAACGTAAAAGATGAAGAAAAAGATACACATTTCTTTAATAAAACATCGACAATATCAACGTGTAAATAACATATTCAATGGATAGCTAAAGAGAAATAGTATCTTCTGTTCCTGCTTTTATCGCATTGTGTAACAGATGTTTTCGTGTACTTAGACTTCTGTGCTTGTACAGACTAGTCATTGAAGTTAATTTGATGCATTTGCATAATTCTCTCTCTCTTTTTGACATACTTTCACATTGAAATTATAATTGGCTTAAGAGTAAATCGAAGAATATGGATTAAAACAAAAACGAAGAAGTTAACTGCTTTTTACGATGATGTCAGGGAAATTGCAGTATTCTATGACTATAAATGATATGTATAAGAATTTTTGTATGCAAATAAAATAATTCAGTGGTCGTTTAGATCGACAAAACTGCATTTCATGTTTCTATGAGTGTTACTTATACCAGCAGATACCAACAGAAATCAGGTTGTCACGTTTTCACGGGTGGAAACGTTTCTCTAAAAAAAGAAGAAAAAAAAGTTTTTGTTTCATACGTATTTAGTAGTAATGATGCAAAAAAATCAATCGGAGCGAGCTTTATATCTACCTCATTACTGATAAACTCATGCAATATGAAATTTTTCTAAATTAAATGATCTTGTGTTTTAATCACGATACCTCTAGTCCCTATAGACATAATCATGTTTACTTATTGTCGTCAGGTTATTTGTATTTCAATCTAATCTATTTCTTCCGTTGTGACACCAATGAAATGGTATTGTAGTTTTTGATTAATTTAATTTTCTCTCTCTCTCTTTTGCAAAGGCAAGAGAGATAGTGAGATAAGTTACAATGCGAAAAACACTGATGAACTTTACACAATGTAAAAATGTGTCAAGGTGTATCTATCTGTACATATACACACTGATTTTAAATGACTTTACTATATACTCGGGACAAAACAAATCAAAAATAGAAAAGGTTAACTGATTTTTTTGACAAATGTTACATATTTGTGTACATGTAACATACGTTCATCCTTGAGATTGATACATTTCTTAAGTTCATTATTGATGTTTGTTCATCTAACGGTTCAATGAAAAATATAATTTGTTTACACATCGTATTAGAGACTGACATTCAGATCGTTATATGAGATGCTACTACTTGTAAAATACCATGTTATACGTAGAAAATTTCAACATCGAAACGACTTGATTGGATTAGGATCTATATAAGAGAGAAATAGAGTATAAACGTGTTGAAAACATCAAAGATTTGATTCTGAATGCCGTTTTTCGTTTTAGTAGGAACAATTTCCTCAAATATGTACCATCCTGTGACGACGTTAAATCATAATCATTTTCGAACAGTACATGGATCGCCACTGATATCTCAGTTGAAGAAAACACGGACTCACATTCCGTTACAAAATAGTAATATTAACAATAGTAATAACAATACTCACATTTTTATTCCCTCACTATTCGATAGCACTAAACCTTCTCAAACTACTCAAATTGTTGATCAAGATATTTGCACACTCGATACTAACCGTCTATCTAAACATAACCATAGAAATGGAAAACAACGAACGGCTCTCACTAATCATTTAATTTCATCCATATCTTCGGAAAATCATCATGCTAAACTCGTTCCGTTATCAAATCCAAATTACAATACGATATCATATTCAACTTCTTCGACAAAATTATCGTCATTAATAAGACCAAAATCATCATCCTCTATTCCGACAATAGTCTATTCTGATGATAATTCGAAAAATAGCGCATTTCGTTTTATAAACAATCGATCGACAGTAGCAACACACCAGCAATCACGACCCATAGTAGAAAATGGCACATATAGTCACAGTTCTAATAATGATATTTCACAATCAAGAATAATGATGAGAGATAACATTTTAAGAGAACAATATGCGACATTAATTAACATTTTAAGAACACAAGAAATACAAGTTAAACAACAACAAAAAGAAATAACGGACAAACAAAGAGGTAACATATATCTTCATAGGTTCAAGTGCATTAGTCGTTTAACCATAGACGGAAGAATAGTTTACGAGAATTGCAGCAAATTTTGAATATTTAGATATAGAATTGTCAATCAGTAAGCAAAAGACAGACGTCGTACTCAAAAGTCGTAGAAGAAGTACAACTTTGAGAAAACTCAAATATCCATGGAGGTCATAGTCACGCGCTAGTGAGGTCACCACGTTTTAGTGCTGTTTTCTTGCAATCAGTCTATATTATTACACAGAGTCTATATACTAGGATGTGAAATATAAATCATTAGAGTCGTATCAAATAAGGAATATCTCTATCTTTTCACATCTTGGCAAATGTTAGCACATGTCTATAGACATTTCCTAACATATAGACATGTGCTAACATTTGCCAAGATGTGAAAAGATAGAGATATTCCTTATTTAATACGGCTCTATTACTTTCCGACGCATATGACCTAAATATTTATCCTCTTTTTGATTAACTTGAAAATTTTTCATTTTAAACATATAAATCTCATCTGTTATTTAGAAATTGAGTATCGTGAAGTTCATTTATCTCGAACAGAACGTGATATTAAAGATATTCAATATAATATTCATTTATTAGAAGATCGTGATCGTTACATTTTCGATGAATGCGATAAACTATCCCACGAATATTCACAAACACAATTTGATTATGAGCTACAACAAAATATGAAATTACGACATGAATATGATGAATATAATAAAAAAATTCATATGTGTAAATGTTTAATGGAAACAAAAAATATCGCACATGAACAGTTAGAACAAGGAGTTAAACAATGTCGAGATGAATTAGATAGATTACAACTGAACATGACAGAGCAAGTAGGTGCAAAAAATATCGTTAAATTGAAAAGTTTTATCTCTCTTCGTTTTTCTCTAGGACATTCGATATATCAACAATGATTTAGAACAATTGATAACATCAACTAGTAACCAAGAACAATTGTTACAACTGTCTCAGCAGAGAAATGATGATTTAGAATATTTATTGAATGAACGACGAGAACAAATGAATGATTTAGAAAGAGAATTGTTAAAACTAGATGAAATATTAATTAGCAGTGAGTTTTTACTTCAAAATATCTTATTGTTTAAACTAACATTCACATGTTTTTAGCTAATCTTTAGCAAGAAAAAGGTTAGAATTAACAAAAGATCTACTTTTTTTGTTTTAAATGTGACAATGATTTTTCTAAAGAGAAACATGTCGACTAAGACATTGTCTGTTCTAATGCATGTGCTAGTTTATCACAGATATGAAGAGGTTGAGTTTAAAAACATAATTTACACTTTAAAAAATTGTAACAATTCCATCGTGTACATGTATGAACTTAGGCGAAGTAGCATGAACCGATCAGTACGAAGCTTAAAATCTGATAGACACACGTTTTCACTGTTATGTGCATGAATGTACTAGCATTTCGCTTGTAAATCATTGTAAATGCACATAAATAACTAACGCTAACTGACAATGTTAACAGTCAACATATTATCTTATGGAGATCATTCTGACGCATAAAAGTGAAACTCATGGTACTTAAACAAGAAGTGAAGTGAACCTTTCTAATGTACACTGTAAAAAATAGTCGTAGATTAATAAACTATCAAAAAGGGTTTATTGAGACCAATAAACGCTTTTCGATTTTTTATATCCAAAAAACTAAAAAGCATTCGTGACAGATGCAAAATGAAAAACGGGCGTTTTTTATCAAAAATAAAAAACCCTTTTCAGTTTTTTGTCGAGTCTAAAAAACTGAAGAGTTTTTTAGCTGATATTTTAGACTGAAAGTGAAGAATAAACCCTTTTTGATAGTTTATTAATCTACGACTATTTTTTACAGTGTAGATATTCTTCTAAAATATTCTTGAAACGATTGAAAATTCTCTTTTATTTTATCATTTAGGTCTTATCAGTCCATGCGGTTCAAATTCGGATATGCCTGTTCAATTACAATTTGTCAATAGTACGTTGTGGAAATTGTGTCCGAGTGGAATATGGGTGTGAAATTTTAGGTATTTTTTGAATTTTTTTATACTCATTTTTATGTCCATATATATGTTATTTTTTTAATTCAGTGATATTAAACATGTTTTTTTAATGGCATTGACGTAAGAGACCATAAAGAGGATGACAGGCGATAAAAAAGAGTATATTCATGAAACAAGCTATTTTAGCAAACCAAATTCTACTTTATCGACAATCTCTTTCTGTTTTCAGGAAAATTAAAATATTGATACTAACGCTCACAAATGCTGACTAACGACACAAATTACCTATACTCGTTTTAAGGTAGGTGGAGTTTGATGAAAAGCTTAGCTCAATTTCGTTTAGTCAGAATGAACACAAGGTTGATCTTTTATTAGACTAGACTGTCGATTTTATTCAGGAAGTAGTCATATTTGGTTATGTGAGATTCAAGCATGTCGAAGCTATAAAAGGTCTAATATTTTACTCTTTCGTTACTCCAATCCTGATGCGGCACTATTCTCATATAAACTCCAGAATAATACGGTTTTGGACATCCTGTGCCATAATTAACAAGTCCAAAAATTTTCCATCGACTATCGTTAAATTGCATCACTGGTGATCCACTATCTGCTTGACATGTATTTGTTTTCCCGTCTTCGTATCCTGCACAGATCTGCAATGTTTTCGAAGCATTACTAAAAACATTTATCCTTGCTAAAAACATTTATCATCGACTAAGTCGAGAATGAGTAAGACTGTTTGTTGAAGTTGTACAGGAATCTGAGAATTAGGATCTAACTGTGGGTCAATGGTGCACAGTGTGCATCCAGGCGAACACGAAAGTGACCTTTTCCAAGTGTGAGTAGCGGGTCATACATTTCAGCATACACTCTGTCTTTCCGCCATTGACACTTTTTTTCTAACTGCCATACTTAACGTGAAGAAGAGCGAAGCTTCAGTTTGGATAAACTTGAGGATAAAGTTTTGAAACTCATCCGGACGATTTGTATGAATGACGCACTGGAATTTACCCTTACGCTTTCGATGATTTCTCGTCTTACGTACCAATAACTGTTGATCTTTGTGATCACTGAAAAATAATTGTTCTTTGATTTTTAAGCATCGATGGTCATCGACAAAGCAAAAGAAAATGAAAGATCATAAAAAGAAAAGACGAGTGGTAGTGACAGATGACGACGTTCGGAACGAGCAAGGTCCTATTGCAGGACATATTTTTACCAAAACGTAGCTGACAAAGATGTGAGAAACGTGTTTATTTCAGCACGCGACAACAAGAACAACGGATAAATAAGAAAGGAAAAAGAATGAAAAATATCTTTTTCTTTTCCAAATGTCTAATGTTCCATTCCGATATGCATATGTGACAAGAAAAAGAAGACTTACACGCTAGAATTCTATCACCATTGATCAAAACATAACAGACTCACATACGCGAAACTGTAGAAACTTATAATAAATTCTTATGACGAAATCTCTGATTTATGTGATTTCGATCTTTTTCACATACTGACCTCCAAAAGTCCTACAATATAAAATATTGAAGTTCTATATGGCCCAAGACACATGTCTTAGCTTCAATTTAAACTTTTCTAAGCTTTCGAGCAAGTATTTCAGAAGCTTTCATACATATTACTTAAGTAATGAACAACCAATTTGCCAGCTATATTAGTCGCTTTGTGCCAGAAAGTTTTCTAAATATTCAATGTGTAAATGGATTTTAAAGACATTTTTTGATAATATTCGCATCTACAAAGCAGCTGGCGACTGCCTCAGAAATAGTCACCAGATTCTATTTTGCACAAAATATGAATTAATTTAAGCTATTTGTATTATAACGTGTAAACTGTGTCCAGACACAATCCTGGAAGAACCATCGTTCTTATTTCTCATCGGTTTCGGAGATTTTCACATATGTGACAGTGTTGATGTTTCAAAAACACTTATTCACTTGGAATACTATCAAAATCGACTCCTGAAAAACGATGGGCGTTTGTCTCTCCCAATGTCGTGTATTTCACTAAGGTACTTGCCTTAATACATAAAAATGAAAAAAATGGACAAACTGTAGTGTAGTTGATTGTGTCTTGATTAACCTATTGAGTTTCAACGATAATGAATCTGAGACTCGAAAAATGTGCTTGTGCTTTTAACCAAAATGCCGAAACCAACCGACAACTGAGTATTATAATTTGTAGATGAAGTAAAAAGATATTCAAAAATTAATTAAAAAGGTTGGAAACTTCCGATCAGCTTGTGGTCGATTTTTAGCCTCATCCCTGTTAGATTCTCAATTTGAATAATTCTTTGCGAAATGCACGCGTCGATAATACATTAAAGAAAAAACCAACCGAATGAGTACTATACATGAGCATTCGAACAATATCGGCAACGATAACGTCGGTGTTTTTTGTTGCTTTAAATTTGTTGACATCATAATAAAATTTGTATGCAGCAAACGGTAAGGTAAGAATGAACGTAACAGAAACTACAATCAAAACAATCTTCGTTAAATGGTGATAATAACGTTGCCCACGTCGATTTCTTGAAATATTATTCAGATTTCGAACTATCAACAGACCAAATATGCTCATCAGTGTCAATGGTATAATGCAGTAAAAAATCAAATGAAAATAGGCAACAAATGTTGTATAGATACCGGCGAGACATGGGCAACATTGTTGCTGTTCGATACGATAGAATATTGGAATGTGAACATACGCTACCAGGCATAGAATGACAGTAATAAGAATAACAATGCGACTAGTTTTTATCGAAGTTATCGTTTGCAGAAACCCATCACTTTGACGATTGATAGATACTGTCATGACATAGCGATCAACAGTTGAAAATGTGATACAATAGATTGAGAATGCTGCCATTGAATAGAAGAAATACGAACGAATTTTACAATAGATTAAAGAATTACTCGATGTACGTATATTATATCCTATTTCTAACAAGCGTGTAAGAATAGCGCAATAAATAAATAACAATGAATTAATAGATGCTGCTATTAAATATTGTGTGCAAGAATTGAAATAAAATGTTTTTCTTGAAAATACCACAATATTCAGTAGATTACCAATGGTACCGGATATTATTAATGTACTCAGAATATATCGATTTGCATGCATCATAATATTTTCCACATTGTACCTATTATCTGAGACTGATGTATTCCGCATTGTTCTTTTCAACTATTTTAATTCGAAGCGATACCTGCAATTATGTACATGCATTTAGGATATGTAAAACTCTTCCGTTTCTATAATAAAAAGTATTTGGAATTTATTTTCTACTTCATGAAACAGAAAAAACACATATTTGAAGAATGATCGAAATATCTAAAGGTAAGTTGTATATGTGAGATTAGGGAAGCCGTCAAAAAATTCGCATCGGTGAATTTATTCACCAGTGAATATTTTCACCCATAACTGCAATCATGTACATGTATTTAGGACATGTAAAACTCTTTCGTTTCTATAATAAAAAGTATTCGGAATTTATTTTTTACTTCATTAAACACAAAATACACATATATGTCGCATGAGAAATTAAATGTACATTTAAATAAACGTCGCGTAATATCAACTTTATTAAGTTATTTTTATATTTCAGAAATACAAAGATCAAACTAGACATTTGAGCATGGTTTCGTTTTTGATGAATGACATTTAGCACCACACTGTATTTTTGCTGCTCGACAATGACATTTCTTTGTTGAACAAGTGCTGTTACAGTTACATGCTTCAGTAGGAGTAATTAATCCTGCATTCGCTAACTAACTTTTGTGACTTATGTGATGTCGATTCAACAACTTTACCAACAATGACATTCAAGCCTGTAAAGCTTGAATAGAGCCCCCCTCTCTCCCGTATTAGAAGGCCTCGGGTCCTGTATTACGACCTGTCAAACTGTTGGCCATTTCTGCTGGGGAAAACGCGAAGTTCATGCGGAAGAGTTTGATGTTTTTCTGAGAGTCATATTCTTAGGACCTTCTCAAAATCATTCACTTGCTTAAATTCTGCAGATGTGAAATCCTTGTGCAAGACTTATTCTCGTCCGTGTGGAAACTGGCGAAGAAATAAAGATGTATGAACAAACTATCAAAAGACGAATTGACGAATCGCAATTATTAAGGGTAAAAATGGTGCAACAATTCGCATTTTACGCTTATTTTGCAAATTCGCAGCGAATCCATGCGAACTGTAACGAATTCGTATGGATATTCTTAAAAACTTTTACGAATTTATCTTACAAATTCGTAAACATGCAAATAGATCAAACACGCTGCTGATCAATTCGCAAATAATTCGTAAAATTAGTTTACGAATTCGTGTTCACTGCCTTTGTCACTAGATTAATTCGTAAATACGAATTAGCGAATTCGTATTATGAACTGATATAGCGGTTGAAAATGGATCCACGAATTCGCAAACACATTCTGCGAACTCGTTGCGAATCGATGTGTACGCTTATTAGGCTGAGAACGAATTCGCAAACCAACTTACCAAATTCGGCAGTGGTGGTTTCGATAAGGACAAGAAGCATTTCTTTGAGGTTAAAAGAACTAAGAATCGTCTCTTCGCATCGATTCGCATACTTCTCACATCAATTCGTTGTTATTTTCACAAATTCGTAAAATATGAATTGATATGAAGAATGAGAAGCATTTTTCTGAGGCTAAGAAAAGAAACATTTAGAATTTTATCTACGTACATTTTTCTAGTCATTCTTCTCTCTCTCTAATTTACTTTTCAGAGTGTCTATATGTCAATCAAACTACAGTGTCTTCCTTTTATCAGTGTTTTGTGTACAATTTAATCATTTTTAAATTGACTCTTGCATTGTTCTTGTCTGTGTCTCTCAGCAATTAATGTTATCAACAGTCAGTCGGCTTGAGCAACAATGAAACAAGACAACCCGTGGTCAATTTCTGTCTTCTTTCTTGTCGTATTCAACATTCAACAATTATGTTTGCTTGCTTTGTAAATACTCACATTCATCCTCACTGCTCCCGCCGCCGCACACGCACACAAAAAAGAGAGATTCCTCTCTATTTTGTTTCGCACAGATACATGTATTAATATAGTCTGTTGTCACATTTTCTGATGTACACAAAAAAACGTTCAAATCTACTGTAGTATTTTAATCACCCGCCATCAACATAAAATTATCACATTATTACCGCTCCATAGAAATTTTGCGTTTTCCCCAGCAGAAATGGCCAACAGTTTGACAGGTC